AGGTACAATAAGAAAGCCCGTTCCCTCCGCAGGTCGAGGGCGCGTAACGACTATTGTGGTCGCGAAGCATCACCTCGTTGTACAACGTGTACCGCTGACCGTTGGTTGCATAAGATATCACACCCCCTTAACCAACTTTCAAAGCCCAAATATTCCACAGCAACAAAAGCGTGATGACGTCGAAAATGGCAGCGTTGGAAACGGCTCAACGGGAGCTATGCGAAGCCGTATCGTTTGTTTTATACTCCAGCCTTTCCGTCGTGGAGCACTCGAGCTTTGAACACCCATGCAGGGGGGTGGTATCTGGTGTCACGTACAGGTACACACATGACATATGCATATGACACGCCACGCCAAAGCATGTTGGCGCCACACACGCTCCGAACTGCTGTGCCTACCTTACATCGCTAAAGCAGAATCAGCTCCGGTAGCCAAGCGTGGAATTCGATCGCGAAGGCTCCCCCCTCGCAGAGAGGGGCAGAGGCGACCAAGGTGATCTCAGAGGCGGAGTGTTTTCGTGCAACGCGCCGAGCAACGGCGCAACCGCCAAGTTCAACCATGCCGTGTCTATTGAAGGCCATATCACTTGATGGCGAGATATAGTAAAGCCTTGGACACTTTCGCCCCAAACCACTGCCAGTGGGTACTCACACACCTGCCAAGTTCAACCATGCCGTGTCCATTGAAGGCCACACTTGATCACTTGATGGCGCGATATAGTGAAGCCTTGGACACTTTCGCCCTAAACCACTGCCAGTGGGTACTCACACACCTGCTCCACCGTGAACTGACTTCCATGGTTGGGACTACGTCCGGCCTAGCTGAGCTTTCCGGCTGTCCGTGATCGTGTTCACCAGGTATGCGGGTGCTGAGTTGTACTGGGGTTGTCGGCGGTGGGCCGTGACGGATCTACATGCATGTGCCCCCTGTTTTCAAGGAGGCGTCCACCAGCCATATAAAAGCGGCGGAACGTCCATGCATAGCAGCACGTAATAGCACTGATTCAGATCAGCAGTCCCATCTGGTTAGAGTTCAGGAAGGAGCACATTCACCGTGCTCTAGCCCACCTTATAGAGAGGATCCACACGACGAGAGCGGTGCCGTAAAAGGAGGGAACGACAGGGTCCAGCTGTTCCCCGCTTACTACCGCGCTTGTGCAAAACTGCAAAGAAAAGGTGGGTCTGTTCTGTTCCTCTCTCCTCTCTCCTCTCTTTCATAGACTGGGTTGTGGATCCCGCTGCAAAGTGTGGCATCGTTCATCATTCGCACATCGCCGAGGTTGTTCGCGCTCGAAGACGTTGTTGTGGTTCTTTGATGCGATCATCCTCTTGTGATGCTGGTGTGAATGCACCACTTCAGTCGCGAAACGACGACCAACATAAATCGATGGTACTTGTGCTCTTTCACTAAGTGTTTGTCTTTGCGAACGTCCCGCAACGTTCCGCGTACCCAGGCCCCCTACTACACGATGGCGCAGCCGGATCGCGAGGCGCTGGTTGCCCTATACAACGCGACCGGTGGGGCTAAGTGGGAGAACAAGCGAAACTGGAACACTCGTGCCGCCCTCTCGCAATGGTACGGAGTCGAAGTCGACTCCCAGGGCCGCGTGGTGACGTTGTCTCTGGCGGGCAACAACCTCCAAGGTATTATTCTTCGATTTCTTTCTTGCCATCTCTTTTGACCTTCCCCAAGAACTCTTTGACCGACAGCAGTGGCCCTTTCATGAAGTCGCAAGTCATACAACATGCCACAAGGTTGTCTCGTTCGTACGTTCCCGTGTTCTGCACACGGTCTACGCCTCAGTACCCCTCGTATGTGAATTCCCCGCAGTACCAGCAGGCTTTGCGTACAAGACTCACTGACTGCTGTATTCGTCCAAGCTAATCGACACTGCAATGTTTCGCCTCCTAGCTTTTGCTCCTTGGACACGCGCCACCTGTGCAGCACATGACTTTTGCTGGCTTTCAAGTGCCTCTGGTACGCTGGGGACCTTCGGTATCTCTTCTTGCGCAGGGCTCTGATGCGGCGCACGTTGTACTCTGGAGCATTCTCCGCGATAAAACCGTTCCGCACGGGCCCCGTAGACTTGGTGGTTGGTTTCCGTGCCGGCATCCATCCGTTTTTGTTTGTCGCAGCATTCCTGGGAAAATGTGGCAAATGCCGTGTGGTGTCAAAATACGGGAAGGGTGTATTCCAAACGTTGGCAGGGTCGGCCGGGAATAAACAAAATAACCCGACCGGCTTGTAGAGCATGTACTAGCCTCTGCGACACGTAGCTGGTCACCTTCAAGGGTGAGGATCTGCAGCGCTGCAAGATTTTCCAGCTCCAGCGGGGATGGGGCTTGTAGTCCACAGGTTCGACAATGTTATTTCCAAAAGCAATCACCCTTTTCCGTCGAAACGGGCATGACGCCTTGAGTTCTGAACATGCATGAATCCCGCGTATGCGTTGGGAGGATCGTTTTTCTGCAATCCCAAACACGTGACATTCTCATTATTTCTTCGTCTGACAGGCACTATCCCGCCGGAGCTCGGACAGCTCACGGCACTGCAGTTTTTGCACCTTTACGAGAATCAGCTGATCGGTGAGTCGCTAGCGCCCGTATCGCACAATCATATATATATTTTGCCAACTTGCCGTATTTGAGGATGTGTCCTGCCAACGGCATACGCGTCCACACACGTTCGCGGAACCTACAATGTTCTAGAAATCGGATGAAATACTTGCTTTGATCTTTTTGTTTTTCTGTGTGGCCCATGTGCAGGGCCCATACCCAAGGAACTCGGAGCCCTGAGCGGGTTGCAAGCGCTTGATCTCCACCTCAACCAGCTTTCAGGTAAGGAAAGTGCAAAAATAATTTTTACTGTTTCGTCTTCTGAAGAATCGTGCATCGTGCATGGACGCGTACGGCGTTGGCGTCCACGAAACTTTCGTACGGCTCCAATGTTCTAGAAAGCGGGGGGTTGTTTTCGTTTGTCCCCCGCTGAGCTACTCCGTTCCGTCGATGCCTACGCGTCCACGAAACTTTTGTACGGAAAGCGCGGGGATTTTTCTTTAGTTGGCGGGACGGATCTTCTAGAAAGCGGGAGGTATCTTTTGCTTTTATCCCGTTAAACTGCCCTGCTTTGACTCGTTCATCTACAGGCCACATCCCGCGGCAGCTAGGAGATCTTGGCGCCCTCGAGACCCTCAACCTCAGATACAACAAGCTAGAGGGTGAGTTGAGTAGATAAAAAAAAACATTTGTTCTTGCGACTTCTGCACTTCCAGAACATCGGTGCCGCATACGTACTTGGCGGCGTAAAAGTTATCCCGCTAGTTCTGAAGTTTCGTGGACGCGTAGGCGTACGCGTCCGCTCACTGGTGCAGAGGCCGGGCCATTCTTTCCTCATTCCCTGCTACTTCATTTTCGTTGTTTGCCATGCAGGACCGATACCGGAAGAGCTAGGGAAGCTTACTGCGCTAGAGACGCTTGATCTGGAAAGGAACAACCTCTCAGGTGAGAATTTGAACTCGGTGGAAGCAACATGCATGAATCCCGCGTATGCATACGCGGGTACGAAATTTCGCAATTTGGGAACTCGCGGGATATCTTTGCTACGCGTGTGTTCTCGAAAGCCGGGGCATTCAAATTTGTTTTCTCCCGCTACACTCTCTTCCGATTGCAGGTTCCATCCCGCCGGAGCTTGGAGAGCTCGCCGCACTGCACCTCCTCAACCTCTCGCTTAACCAGCTAACCGGTGAGTTTGTCCAGCAGTTCATGTTTTGAAGCATGAATCCCGCGCACGCGTATGCGTCCACAGATCTACGGAGATCAGTTGTCTTGAAAAAAGAAAGGCAGGTTAATTTTATTCGTTTCTGTATCCCGCTTGATCGTATCGCCCTCCTGCGTACAGGCCGTATCCCGCCGGAGCTCGGAAACCTCGGAGCATTGACATTGCTAGACCTTAGTGAAAACCAGCTGAGCGGTGAGTCATGGAGCACAATGTTATTTTTGCATAATCTCCCAGGATAAATCTCGCCGATGTGTATGGACGCGTACGCGTGCGCGAGATTCATGCTTCAAATATGAACTGTTGAACAAACTCACCGGTTAGCTGGTTGTGCGAGAATTCGAGGAACTGCAGTGCGGCGAGCTCTCCAAGCTCCGGCGGGATGGAACCTGCAATCGGA